TCGGGTATCACATCTCCCTTGCGAATCTTGCCTTCTTGCAGTAAGAATTTGCAACTGTGTGTCCTTTAACAAAGAAGGAATTGTGTGGACCACATCCTCACAGAACATGGCATGTATTACGTGAGGGACTGACCCAATCTATGTCTGTGGTGTTTGGGACAATAGCTGAGATAATAAGGACTTCCATTTCCCCCAGGTCCTCCAATCATGTCATGTGACCCTCTTAACATCTCTGACGCAATAACCAGACAGGGAATAGTCATCCCCATTGTTAAGATGCAGATGCAGAAATTCAGAGGGGTGTGCCGACTGTCTCCTATCACATGGCAGTAGCGGGTGGCAGAGCTGGACAGTCCCGGCTCCATCCTGGTTCTACCGCCATGGGTCTGGGGTGCGCTACTCCCCAGCTCCTTTCTGCTGGCTCTTTTTAATGGCCGGACTCCTCTTGGGAGCCCTGTCCAGTCGAGGCTTACCCAGCTGAGAAGGTGCAGCACTCTGGCGTTTTGAGGGACACGTACAGCACGCAGCATGAAATGTCTCTGAATTTGGGATCCTGCCGATGGTAAGCTTTAACTTCTAAAACACAGGAAAGAAGAAAGTTCAATGATTGAAGATTATCTTTCAGATTGTTGCTTCCCAATCTGTCCTCATTAATACCCTTGGGAGCTGGTTTTGAAGAAAGTCCTGCAGCGAACTGTAATATCTGGGCCAGAAGAAGACAGGGATGACTTACTTGGCTACTTGGGTGGAAGGTGGATTTTTATTTTCTGGCATCCATGGGGCTGAGCTTTTAAGGAAGGATCCAGGTAGCATTGATGGTGCTCTCAGGGGTCCAATTGCACCAACAATTAAAAGGCCTCTTGAAACAAGTGAATCAAAATGAAACCACCAGACAGGACTCACCCAGACAAGATTGGGAGGAAATTGAAACTTGATCAGTTTCTCCTGCAACCTATCATGTCCTTCCCCTGCACACACCTTCTCCCCTTCCTTTGAAAATCTCAGTTCTCTTCCCTCTCAATCCCTGCCCCATTCCCACCCCAACCTCCAATTCCCTCATCCGTAGCATAACAGGAAGGAGAGTAAATGGGATTGACTCAAGCACTTTAAAACATCAAGGGCCAATGGCTGTTCTTCCTTTGCTTCCACGTCTCCCTTTTCCAATACTCGTTTTCCTTCCAGGGACCATGTGTTCGAATGTTAAAAGAGCAATGGATACCCGTCAATACCAAGAAAGAAGTCAGGAATGGTGGCGGTGGGAAAGTAAAGGAATTTTCTGATCTTCCAGATAATCATGAAGATGGATACTGCATATTTCTCTGTAGCATGTAGGAGCTGTTATCAATTAGAAAGGGAAGGCAGAACAAGCACAAGAGAAATGCAGTCGCCCTTTTCCTATGCAATGACTACACAGTCTGGAAAGGCAGTCAGGATAAACTGTAGTCAGCAACACCCAGGTACCGTTCCTGGATCTGCTCACAGGCAAAGACCCTTTTCCTGGCTTCTGAATTAATGCCTGGATCTTTGGGTCAGAGTATTGTTTGGTAACTTTCAGAAGAGTTCAGAAGCTTATATTGGCCCCAGGGTATGTGGATCCTTTTTTTTTCTTTTTTTGAAACAGTCTCGCACTGTTCGGGCTGGAGTGCAGTGGTGCAATCTCGGCTCACTGCAACCTCTGCCTCCTGGGTTCAAGCGATTCTCCTGCTTCAGCCTCCCAAGTAGCTGGGATAACAGGCACCCACCACCACGCCTGGCTGATTTTTTGTATTTTTAGTACAGACAGGGAATTTCAATATATTGGCCAGGCTGGTCTTAAATTCCTGACCTCATGATCCGCCCACCTCAGCCTCCCAAAGTGCTGGGGTTACAGGTGTGAGCCACCTTGCCCAGCCCAGTGTGGATCTTTGGCAGAGAAAATGTGCTATAGGTACCAGATTGTTGGACTGGGGCCCTGAAATCTACTTCTTTTCTGCCATGCACTCTCCTATCCAGTCTTCAAAACCCAAGCCAAACAGCACTTTCTTTGAGACACCATGCTGGCTTCCTTCATACAGATTTACTCCATTCTACCTCTGTGATCCTGTGGCCCTGTGTTCATATCTCAGGGCACACACTGTATTGCAAGTAGCACATAACATGCCTGCTTCATCCACTAATCTGTGAGCTTCTTAAGCTCAGGCTGAGGCCATTTTTGTAGCTCTTGAATTTAGCACAGTATCTAGCACCCAGTAGATGCTCAATAAATAGAAAGTGAATGAATATGTACTTGCTCTGCCACTAACTAGTTATGTATCTTAGACAACTCACTCACTTATCCTCCTGGGATTACTCATTTAGGGTACTGAGTAATAGGGATAGCACAATTTGTATGACCAACAGGACTATTACGTAGTGCAGAAGAGATAAGACATGTTCTTAATATAGATATGCTACACAATCACAAAATTCCCAGAGCTGGAAGAAATTTGGAAATCATCTAATACAATGGTTTTCAGAAATTTGAAGCCAAAGAACTGTTTCTTAAGGAAAGCTAACAGGAAAGTCCAACATTTTGGACTACTTTTTTTTCATAAAAGATAAAAGATAAACATGAGCTTCTCTGGTTGAAGACCCAGCATACTCTCTCCTTCCTCTCCTTTCCTTTCACCTCTATCCTAGGGATGTAAGACGTACAGTCTGAAAACCAACTTCTCACTTCAGTGAGAATAAGCTGAAGTCCAGAGAAGGCAGTGAATTTGCCTAAGGTCACAGGGCTAATTAGAAAGAAAAGTAGACCAGGGAAGGAATTAACACATGAAGACTGCAGTGACATGCAGGACAATAGCTAGTCCATGAAAAAACAACGTACCCATATATTAGGGTTGGTTTGTTGTTGTTTTTCTTTTGAGACAGGGTCTTGCTCTGTCTTCCAGGCTGGAGTGCAGTGGTGCGATCATAGCACACTGTAACCTTGAACTCCTGGGTTCAATTGATCCTCCTGCCTTAGCCTTCCAAAGTGCTGGGATTACGGGTGTCCGCCACTGTGCCCTTCACCACATATTATGTTTAATTCTTGCAATACTCTATGAGGAAATTAGGGCTGTGACGATTTCTGAGATGAGGAAACTGAGGCTTTAAAAAATGGGCTTGAGTAACATTCCATGGTCAGTTGTAGTAGAAGTAAAAGTAACTAGTAACTTAATTGATTACCTAATATGTGCCAGTCACCTTTGTAAGCACATTACACGTATAACCTCATTTAATTATCCAACAACCAGCACCATCATTAGCCATAATTTTACAGAAAAGAAAACTGAGGCACAAATTGGTTGAAGGAGCTGGTTTGGAATCCCTGCACCAGTCTGATTGCATGCAAGCTCTTTTTGCTACATCACTCCGATCTGAGGTCCTGAACCCAGGTGCTGTGTCTCTTAGCCCAGTGCCTTCTCCAAATGCTACTTGATATGAAAGAATCCTGAAAGAGTCCTGAAAGAACATTCTGTTATTTGAACTTGGTGGTGGAAGAATGAGGAGCCTTATTTATACTCAGGGTACCTCTCAGACTCCATCTAAGACCTTTTTCCTTCTGGTACTGATTTGCCCTGTTCAGGGCTGGTCAGTACAACTCACCTCCTTCTGGATGGACCGGGTGAGAAACAAGGAGACCTCGTCCAGGCTCTGGGGCTTCAGGCCATTCACCGCCAAAAGATGATCTCCGTGGCAAAATATGCATCCCAGACGTGGGGGGCCTTCCCACTGAGACACACTGCAGTGGGAATACAACATCCGACACCAGTGTGAGGCTCAGCCGGCCAGGAGGGCAGGGCACACGTGGAGTCTACAGGGAGTCCTGATTCTAGGTCACGTGGCACCACCTCTGAAGTAGACTATCTCCATCTGTTTAGAATATTGTTTCCTCTGTCACTACTACAGGAGCCTAACCCTTTCTCCAAAGCCCAGCTCAAATTATACTGCCCTTACAAAGGCCCATAAAATCCTACATCCCATTCCTCTGCTATAATTCATTTCCCCTACCCCTGGACTTGTATTACATTGTGTGAGTACCTGATTTATTACATTTTTAAATAAAATGCATTTTACATTTACTTGTTTGTGTGGCTGTCTTTTTTTTTTACGAGGGTACATGACCCCAGAAGTATGATGTCACCTTTTTGTTTGTTTTGTTTTTTAATTTTTAAAACCCCATGGTTCCAAGCAAAGAAAGAGGGCTCAGCGTTTGTTGGAAGTGAGGGTGTAATGATTACATAATGAATATCTAATGAACAAATAAATGAATTAAGGAATGAAGCAGTTCAGTTATGGAGGACTCCACAGTTTCGGTCAAGTGTGTATTGAGCCTTGGATTGTGGACTATTTAAAAAAAATGGAAGGTGTGGTTCCTCCCTTCTTAGAACTTATAAGACAACTATTGTGTAGCGTTTACATTAAAGAGTTTTCTTCTCTTACGAAGATGTAATCTTCCATCAAAATAAATTACAAAGTCTTTTTAAAAATGCCATATCAAATAGACAGTGATTGCTTTAAGAAAATTCTCTGCCACACAGTCTTTTGTGTCTGTGTCCGTGACTAGCAGTTTTTTTTTTTTTGTTTTGTTTTTTACCTTGTGTCTGGAAGTCTTAGAAGCTGATATGCTTTCTTCTTTTAGGCCTCTGATTCCTGTTGACTTCAGTAATTTCACTCATTCATCAAATACTCATTGCACAGTGATCAGAAATGATGTCCTTGGGTCATCTGTATCCCCGCCCATTCTTCCTCCCTTCAAGGAGTCAGAAATGGCTGCTTCCTGAACTTTTGGGTCCTGTTATTCCCCCCCTCACCTCCCAGCTGACTTTCCTGCACAACAAGACCCTGATTTCGGCCTCAAAGACTTTTGTAACAACAGCAAGACAATAGTCCAAGGTCCCCGACCCCTCAACCCGAGTCAGTGTTGCCAAATACACTGTTTCAAGATGTAACTGTTCTCTTCAAAGCTTCCAGCCCCATTTATAATCCACAACAGTCAAATCTCCAACCTACCATATCCGTCCTGCGGCTTCTGTGAGAGCAAGATAGTTGATGACATCAGGAGGAGAAAGGAAAATGTTCAGTTTCTCCACTTGGCTTTCATCAGGGATATTACTATGAACAAGACATTTGTAAAAGTCGCATCAGACAACTGGCCATGGCTCTCAACTGTACTTTCTATTTCTGAGATGATATTTCACAGGTAAAGGTCCAAAACATTTGGAGAATAATATAAATTTAAGTTACTGAAAAATCCTCTTGGGATGTGGTAGTGGATGGTAGACTACGGGAACGGAAGGAAAATGGACTAAGTTGGTTATATAACTGTCCACATCAGGCCAGTCTGCGTATTTCTTCGCTGAAAATGATTCCGTAGAAGAAGGCACGGAAAAGAGTTAAAATTACATCAGTCGTACCAAATGCTCTTGGTATCACTTAAGGCCTAAATAACCCCCTCCTGGTCTATAACTAAGCCCCATGCAACTTGCATGGCCATAATTACACTCATGGGAAAACTGACTGACATGCTATTCAGATCGATTTGGATCCCAAGTCTTGGGAACTGAAAGACTAGCCAAGGGGTGATTTTTAAAAGTAGCTGAAAATGCCACCCCAGCCCCGGGGACTGCTTTACTTCAGCTCTATCATCCCCTCTCCTTGGCCACAACGTCAATGACAGGGAGAAGATGGTCAAGTTTTTGGTTGACTTGGAGATTTTTAGGAATGGCTTTAAAATTTAATTCTAAGTTAAAAAACAAACAAACAAACAAACAAACAAACAAAACAGTGGGAGGGAGCCTGCCTTGCTCTTAGGGCCCATAAAGTTTTAGAAATTAGAGCTTTACTTGATTAATATAGACAATTGCACAACAGTTAGTGAGGCCGACCCCTTTTGGTCATTTGTGGTCTGTGCTTCCACATCCGCAGGGGAAAGACACCAATCAATTCCTGAGCCTTGTTCTTGCAGGTGGAGGCCCCCATCCTGGGTCTCTGGAAGGGTCTGGGGTTCCTCTTTGCTGCTATCCACAGACTCACGGGATGTCTCTTTGAAAAAACTAGAGTATAAGAAGTTAAAACAAGCCCTATTTTAGCATGTGTTTTTACAGTGTTCCCCTGTGTGTGTCAGATTTCAGTAGCTAACAGCCATGTGAAGACTAGCAAGGTCTTGAAGTATGTCCAACTATCAGAATCACAGCCACAGATAGAATCAAATCCAACAAACTGTCCTTCTAAAAATGGATACGGAATCAAAATTACCCTTTATAGTGTTTGGAGGACAGAGGCGAGAGTGTGAGAGACATAAATGCAAAGTAGAAGATAACTTCCTCAGGAGATGGAAAAGGTCCTGAGGATGTCATCGGTGGTTTTCTGTGGGTGGAGACGTGACTCCCTCATTTTTGTGTGTTGAGATGATGGAATAATATGTGGAACCTGGTCTGTGGTAATGTTTGGCATCAGTTTATCAACTATTGAAATGAACTGACAGTCATTGTTCCATAACAGCAGATGAGCAAAAATCAAATTTTTGAATGGCACTTTGACTTACTAGGATTCCATTGGCTCATAATGACACTCGACTCTTCCAGAGACCTGGTCTGGACCATCAGTTTCAATGGATTCACCAGAATCACTGGAAGCAATGACATTATCCAACTGTAGATAAAAGGAATAGATGTAAGAATCCCAGTTTACCGATAAGTCAGGTACCTTCTTATTTCTAGTGTTAACAGCTCTGGGCTCTGACATAGAGGTACAGTTTCCAGTGGATGAGCGTGGTTCTCATTTGGGAAATATCAACTGATCTTACCTCCGTGAGACTGAACCAGCAAAGCTTCTGGAGGACTCAAAGTCAATTTTCTTCTCCTGGATCCCTCATGTGACTGACACAAGTGTTATTTCTATTGAAACTAAATTGCTATTTATCTTTCTGTTTCACCATTAGGCACTTAATGACATGAAAGCGTTTCCCCAATCAGTTCTACTATAGAATCATGGCACTTGGCTGGGTCAAAGACTTTGACACAATGTGTAGCTGGTCTCAGGCTACTGTGCTCACAGGCAGCCCAAGTGGCTTCAGGGACGCTACAATGGTCTAGGAAAACACTGCCCTTAGGAAGCTCTCAATAGCCCCCTTAGAACAAGGAGAGTCACTTGTGGCGATGATTGCTCAGAAACCCTAAGGCCTACCTAAGTTCACCGTTAACCCATGATGGAAACCTTCCTTCCAGTCAAGCCAGTCTTCCCATTGGCCCCCTGCAAATGGTGCTTTTCTGTCGCCATATTCATGCAGTCTTCTTCACCTAGAGTGCCATCTTTCCTTCCTGCCTACTGAAATCATGTTCAGGCCTGCCTGAAGTCCCACAGCCCCCTCTGATCACCTCAGTTACTGCAGAGCTCTCCTTTCTCTCAATTTCCATTGCATAGTTTTGTACTTATTTATTTATTTTTTTGTCTTTTTAGCTTAGTTTTGTCTGCTTTACTAGACTTTGCCTATCATAAAGTACCTAGCAAAGGCCAGGCCTCTAACTGATGCTCAGTACACGTCTGATTGGTTGGCTGGACTATCATAAAAGACTGCATCCCAGGAAACACAAACATGAAAATCTTTTGGTGAAAGAAGAACTATGTGCTCAAAGGAGCTTGGGAAACACCATGTGTTGTATTTGACTTGACGATTTACAGTGCACCACTGCATACTAAATGCTCTGAGAATTCTGCTAAGAAGTTTGTTTAACTTATTTTAACTGGGTGTTTCCAGAATTTATTTGACCCCAGAATGTTTCTTTTATATAAACATATGTCACCCTCTTATGGAAAACCCTCAGTTTGGGAAATGATGCAGCATTGCCACCCTCCATTCTGTCTTCCTATCTCTCACTTCCATTCTCTTCTCTCTATAGTCCACAGCGGATACAGCTGCTGGGTTAATACTAATTCAGGTTTTGATACTTCCCAACTCAGAAGCCATCGCTTCCCCTATGCTGTCTACAGAATGAAGTCAACTTGGCATTCAAAACCCTTCATGGGCTGGCTCTTTTCTTCTGTTTATCTCCCACTATGCCTTTCACACACTCTAGGATGCAGCCTCACTGAACTATTCCCCATGCATGTATCAAATGGCACTTCATCCCGGAAGCCTTCCTTGACTCTAGCAGAGACAGAAAATCTGTTCTTTTTCTATTGCTTCCGGAGCATACTGACCACGTCTTTTGTGCAGCATGATCCTGTGGTAACTGACAAGACTATGCACTCTGAAAGCAGGACGATGTCAGGCTCATTACTTTAGCCACCATGCCCAGTACAGTACAGTGACTACTGCTCAGAAGGCATTCAGTAAGGGCCTCCAACTGATCAATAGACTGATCGATACACAGAACACAACTGATCACCCAAGCACCTTGGCTCACATTATTCTTTCTGCTAAGAATGCAGAAAGACTCCTCAAGGCAATCCCCCACATCCAAATTTTACTCATCATGTATGGTCAAATGTCATCTCATCCCTGAAATCTTCCTGATTTTTTGTTTGAAAGTCATCTCCTCCTCCCATTGCTCATGCGCCCCTAGAATTTTATAAGCATCTCTCTTCAGCATAGAACCCTTCTGTCTTGTATTACAGCTGGCTCCTAGTCAAGTGTCAGCGCCATGAGCACGTCACCTGTATTTGATTTACCTCTGTGTTCCCACTGACCCTAGCCTTGTATTGCACGAAAAGTGCATGGCAGGGTTTCAGTAAATATTTGTGAAAGAAACAAATGATGAATGGACAAGAAAGGGTTACCTCTAAAAGAACACTTCGAGGAGTAAGATAATAATTCTCTTCCTTCACATCTTGAGTGGTTTCTGATAAATCTTGTAGATGAGCTTGCCTAAATCCTGGAGAACTTTTTTCCATTAAATGCTGAAGAAAAGAGATAAAAATGCTTTGCTTTTTCTTTGCAAGAGATAGAATTAAATCACATGCATTCTGGAAAACCCATAATAAATTAGTTGGGTTAAAAAAGACCAGAGGGTCTTCCAAGGTTACATCTGGAAGCTCACACAACTTCAACTTGCCTCTTGAGTCTGGGTCACCACTGAGGATGAAAAAATATAAGCATAGCACTCAGGCTTTTTTTTCTCTACCATTTGGAACAGTCACTCAGAACAAGTGGTTTTCTCCTGTGGGTGGTATTCTTTTTTTTTTTTTTTTTTTTGAGACAGAGTCTTACTCTGTCACCCAGGCTGGAATGCAGTGGCGCAATCTCGGCTCACTGCAACCTCCACCTCCTGGTTCAAGTGATTCTCCTGCCTCAGTCACCTGAGTAGCTGGGAATACAGGCACGCACCACCATGCATGGCTAATTTTTGTATATTTTTTAGTAGAGATGGGGTTTCACTATATTGGCCAGGCTGGTGTCAAACTCCTGACCTTGTGATCCACCTGTCTCGGCCTCCCAAAGTGCTGAGATTACAGGCGTGAGCCACCATGACCGGCCCTGTGGGTGGTATTCTAAGTCACTAAGCTCTGGAGTTGCCACCCTCATCTTTTTCCTGTTATCGTCCAATACCATCTGAGAATGTAATTAACCCAGAATCAAGGCGCTGCACCTTTCCTGTTCCTGCTCCATATTTTTCTTTTGTGTTCTGTTCACACACTTCTATTGTTTCCATGGCAATGGAATTTGGTTGTGTTGATCATGTGATAGTATGAATTATAGGTTTCCATCTAGATTCAACCACTATTGCCTCCCCTTCCCCATAGATACACAATATGCTACTAAAGTAGCTTCTTCGCGTGGCAGAAAAATTCCAAGAACAATGCCTCAGAGCTGGGGGTTTGGAAAAGACCCTGAATGTTCTCTAGGAAAAAAGTCAAGTTGTTGTTGTTGTTGTTTGTTGAGATGGAGTCTCCCTCTGTCGCCCAGGCTGGAGTGCTGTGGCCGGATCTCAGCTCACTGCAAGCTCCGCCTCCCGCGTTTACGCCATTCTCCTGCCTCAGCCTCCCGAGTAGCTGGGACTACAGGCGCCCACCACCTCGCCCGGCTAGTTTTTTGTATTTTTTTAGTAGAGACGGGGTTTCACTGTGTTTGCCAGGATGGTCTCGATCTCCTGACCTCGTGATCCGCCCGTCTCGGCCTCCCAAAGTGCTGGGATTACAGGCTTGAGCCACTGCACCCGGCCAAAAGGTCAAGTTTTTAAATATAGGTATGTTTAAGTTCTGTCCATGTTTTAGGCTCCAAACTCATGGAGCCAGATTATGCTGAGTTGGGGGTAAAGGAAATCCACTTAATTTAACCACCACCACCACCATCACCCAGCAAGGCAAATAGTACTATTAACTCGAGCTGGTTTAAAAATCACTGGATCTATAGTGTGAAAAGGCAAGATGACAAATAATGTTATCTCTAGGGGAAGGGAGATATCATGAGTGAACAGCAAGAGGTGCTTACAGAAAAGGGTGAAGCTTCCTAACTGCTGCATACCACCATTTCTACTCACTAAATGAAGAACTGAGGTGAAGTGTTTGGCATGGTGAATTTGATATGCTACAAAAAGCTTTCAAAATAGTTGGAGAGCTACCAACTAGATAAAATAAGGGGCTAGGACTCATTAGATGTACTTGGTATACATGGACAGGGCAAAGTCAATGGATAAGTCTTTAAGAGACAAAACAGTATCTGTGCCAGAGGACAAAACCACTCAGCATGTTTATGACTAATATCCCAAGTTGGGAACATTGCAAATCCAAGAAAGCTGAAGGTCCAATTACAAGTCGCTTTCAAGAGGCAGGTTACATTATATTTTATGTCTTCAAATGGATTTCATTAGAAATGAGGATGAAGTGATAGACAGCTATAATGAATGAGAAGCAAGATTGATCAAGGTAAAGGGAGGAAATTAACAAGAAACTTGGCCTTTGCCTGAGGAATACAGACAGAATGGGCAGAAAACAGGTGGTGTCTGGGAAATCTTTTGGCAGAGGGATCTGTGCCCTCTGTGTGAAAGAAAGGAAGAAGTTGCCGGCCAGGTTTTGGTTTAGCAAAGGGTCTTGCACTAGCATACCCAAAGCATATCAAGAGCATCCAAAATCAATCAATACACTGAGATGTATTCAGGGCAAGCCCTGAGTGAGGCTCATCTGTGGTATGGGATAAACATCAGGGCTAAGAATCATTCTTATAGTGCATCGGGCTTTGAGGAAGGTGGGCATGGTTAAATTCAATTGCTAATTGGTAAGATTTTTAAGCATTAGCTGACTCCCAGGTGTGCTGTCTTGAGAAAGAAGTGAGCCCCATTACCGTGTCCTGGAGACCATTTCTTGGTGAGCTGGAACCAACAGCCTCCGATGTGCTGGGAGGGCCAAGGAGCGGGCTGGGGTAGAAGAAGGTTCTTTTATTACCCAATGAGAGTTCCTCCTGCTCACAAAAAAGGAATCAGTCAGGGCACGGTTTCTCTCCGTCTGGAATGAAACAGCAGCCTCTCTACTGTGCTCCTTGCCTCCCGTCTTTCCCCACAGTGATCTAACATTCATGCCACTGGCCTGCCAGCATTATCTCACCAAGAAAAGAGCCGAACTTGTCTCTCTCCTGTTTCTAAACCCTTGAGGACATTTAGCATGACCCTCAGAGATGGCCAGCGTTTCCCTCCACCTGTCTTCTCAACTGTGTCTGTTTCTGACGCCCTCTGCCCTAGTTCCCTTTGCTCTAATCATTTCAGTCTACTTGAAGACATGCCTTGATTTCTCCTTCTCTTTGGCTTTTGCTGTAAGCATGGAACAACCTAGAAAACATGTCAAAAAAGATACCTAGGGGCCAAAGTTCCATCTATAAAAGTCTGCCCTGAGAAAGGACTTGGGAACATTAGCAGAGGCCCTTTTGAAATAAATTTAAAATGTAAAACTACTAAGCACGTACATGAAAGATACGTTATATTAAAAATGCAAGATACATGAAAAACATTTTTATAGAACCTGCCCTAGACTTAATCATTCAAAAGGGAGCTTTCGTGCACCTTGAATAACAACGATGGAAAATACTATGTTCTAGCTACTACTTAAAAATGCCACAGTTAACTTTTCCTCCCTCTACCACAATAATAAAAGTCTGAAGTGTCTGTATTTTAGCTCTCTCACAAAACGCAGAAGAATTTTTTTCTATTGTTAATCATAAAAAGTAATAAGGATGTACATTTTCTCACTTATTTATTCCTTGTATTAACGCCAGTTGCTAAGGAGGCAAAGGAAAGCTACCATTGTTTTCTATTGAAAGAGGGTTGTATTCAGGTGCCCTGTTATTTTGTTAGTGATATGGAGTCACCTCTGTGTTCTGATGTGTTGCTTTTATATCCTGGAGAAATGATGACATGAAGGAGACCCAGTCTTTAATCTTCTCCCTGTTGATAGGAATAAACTTTCAGCTGGCATGTGGCAACAATAGTGCTTGTACTTCTTTTGAACCAGAGAAGGATTCTTTTATGAAGGTTAGAATGGCGGTGAGAGCAGGTACCAGCGAAGTAAGAATTTTTCCTAAGTAGTTTAAATGCCCTCGCCACCTCCACATTTGCACACTAGAATTAATGCTTAGCCACCTCTGCAAAGAAAGCTCAGAGAAAGGGAAGAAAAGTAGAAAACAATAGTAGTAATCACAGGGTTTGGGGCTTTCGGCTTTGACACTGATTTCCTTTATGTTCTCAAGCCAGCCCCCTAACCTGTCAGTGCCATTTTTGTGTAACTATGCAGGTGGGCCTTCCCTTAGAAAGTGCACATGTTGATGAAGAATGTGCTTGAATGAATTTGTATAATCACATCTTTTCTATGGACTCACAGGACAACTTAGAAGAAAGCTTTGGTCAATCTGAAACAGATCAGGGTTTTTCATATGTTGGCTTTGGCACTGTCCACCTCCTCTGCACAGTCTCCCCCACACCAGCTTTGCCTCTCCCTCAGGCAGATAATCATCCATGAAGAGTCCACTAGGCACCTTAGCTAGAAGCAGAAGCCCCTCTTAAAAACTTCAGACTCCTTTGGGGGCAAGCCTAGTTCCTCCCTAATATATGTAGCTTGGTGGATGTTTTTGTATTGGGTTCTTTTACATGGAATGCTTCTGGGGTGATGGTGACTGTTATTGGTTGAAATGCACGCTCCCCACCCAATTTGTGTGTTTCAGTTCCATATCCCAGTACCTCAGAATGTGACCTTATCTGGAAAGAGGGTCGTTGCCGATGTAATTGGTCAAGATGAGGTCATACTGGAATAGAGTGGGTTCCTAATCCAATATTACTGATGTTCTTATAAAAAGGGGAGATTTGGACACAGAGCTATGCACACAGGGAGAACACCATGTGAAGACTGGAGTTACGTTGCCACAAGCCAAGGGAACTACCAAGAGTTAGGAGAGGCCTCTGGAATAGGTCCTTCCCTGGAGTCGTCGGAGAGAGCATGGCTCTACCAATACCTTGATTTCAGACTCCTAGCCCCTGGAACAGCGAGACAATACATTTCTGTTGTTCAAAGTTACCCAGGATGAGGTACTTTGTTACAGCAGCCCTAGGAAACTAGCTCAGTAACTTTTCAAGATATTTTAACAAATAGCAAAGATTGCCAAGATGGCATCTGAGGTTGTAGCATGGGTTCAGAAACTGTTTATTGGTATAAAATGTTTTGTTTTTTGGTTTGTTTTTGTTTTGCATGCAGTAGACATTATGCGTTATCTTACTTCTCTCACCTGTCATGGCCGATGAGGAAGTATTCCCTGTTAGTGGTTCTGATGGACATGACCTCATCAGGGTGGCATTTAAACATCTTCTGCACAGATTGCATCTTTTCCTGATTACTTATGCCAACTTCTACACTGGAATTTCTGTTAGATATTGACACAAAGTATTAAACCAAGGTAAATACAGAAGTGGAAAACTGACTAATATTTTATATTGGGATTCAAATGGAATAAAACTTTAGATGTGCTGGATCCATGTTTTGAAGATTGTCCAATAATTTTAGAAGAGAAGTTTGGATTTTTGATCTGGTTAATTAATAATTGAAATTATTTGGTTTAGCCTAAGATTCAAAAATTTCTATTTTAATTGGATTCTTGATTCCACAAATTATCTTTTTCAATTTTTGGGTGCACAATTTATTAAAGAGAAGACCAAAAAAAGCTGATCTAAATATTTTTAAAAACTCTATCTTAACTTTATAAAATGAAAATTTCATCCGCTCCCTCTCATCCACAAATTACGTGAATCAAACTCCCTAACGGAATGCCTGTTAATTAAAGACTTATCAAGTATGACATACAATATGAAACAAATATTCAACTATCTTTTACTTAAAGTGCTCACTATTTTAGCTCCTATTCAGTCACAAATATTATAATAAGCTTGAAGCCTGTGGTTCCTTTGGTCAATTATGTAAATTTCAATTTGCATGCAACTTGTTACTGTTTGACTTTATAGTATTTGTTGTTATAAAAGTTTTCTTGCTTGGATACACACTGATCAATTTCAATGGAACCTCGGTGATGATGGTCTTTGTAATAAGCAAGACTAAAGCTCTTTTCCCCAGTCCTTGACAGGATGAAAAACCGCTTTTTCCAAGAGGTCTGAAAAATAGAAAGATTTTATGTCTTAGTTAAATCTCAGCGGAAAAGAAAGGATTTTTAAAAATGCTCATGAGGCTGGTGGGAGGCTTGTTAAATCATAGCAAATACTTACCACAGAGAAGAACAGCTGAGAAGGTGGTGATTTAATAAAGTAATCTTGTTTGCAGACTTCATTTTCATAAGAAAATGTAAATTGTTTGCCTAATGAAAGTGAACAGAACTCAGTTTGTTCCTTATACATTTCTGAAAAGAACTGCCTCAATTGGAAAACACTATGTATCTCTGGAAAGACCTTCAGATTATTCAGTAGTTATGGAAAAGAACACCTATAATAACCCAAGAAAACAAAGGACCAAATGTGTGATTCTTATTCCTCCACAGCCAAGACCTTCATTCAAACAACATTTGAAAGCATGTTAATTCAGCTTACACCTGTCTGGCTTTCTGTTTCTAGAGTACATCGTTGGCTCTCTACGTGTGAGCGAAGATTTGGCTCTTAGTTCCATTGCAGAAGCATGATAATTTTGCATTGTCCTTTGGCTTAGCAAACAAAATCAAAAGCACCTGCTGTTAAAAATGATGTGGCAAAAACTATTTGGGAAAGAGGGACAGGTAGAGCTCTGCAGAAGTTGGGAAAGGAGGGAAGGTAAACACAGCCACCTCCCCAGAATTACTGGGTGCTATCCTCATAGCCCCAGCAGCTGTATTACCAAATCTTGAGTCTGTTTTCACTTAATAAAGAAGCTCTAATTTTTTAGTAAAGACCGCCCTTTCCAAAACTGAGGACAAACTAAACCTATAGCCTGGATGTGAAAGCAAATCCAAGCTAAAACAAAAACAAACCCAAAACAAAAAAAACAAAAATAACAACATCGTGTTTAACAACATTAATTGTGTTTTTCTAAAGAGTGAATGTAATACATACTTATTGTAGACATTTTAGAAAATACAGAAAATATTAAAACTGCCTATAATTTCATCACTCACAGAGAAGCAGTGAACATTGTAGAAACTTCTTTATTTAATCACTTCTGCCACCCCATTTTCAATAGTGAGTTGTTTTGCTTTTGTCTGCTAAGCCAAAGGGCAATATATACTGTCTCCCTAAGTATTCAAGAGTGTTGATTAACACATGTGGGTGCTGAAACTACCTGAGGCCAGAGAAAGAACCATTAAAAAAATCAGAGGCTCAGAAAAAGTGCCTGTTACCTCCAGCCAGACTGGAAAAACTTATAATTTACAGGGCATTGGATAGAGTACTCAGGAATGTCTTGCCTCAGTGTGAGGAATAATTAGCTGTATACTAATTACTAGCTGTACACTGAGCACTGCTCCAAACCCACCTAACAAATCATAGAAGACTTAGAAGAAAGTGGTTTCCAAAAAATTTAACTGCATCCCAGAACAAAGCTCAAGATTCATAGGAATACAAAGATATTCAGGACCCAACAAGGTAAAATTTGCCATGTTTGGCAGTCAATCAAAGTTTACCAGGCATACAAAGAGGAAGGAAAACATGATCAATAATGAGGGAAAAGTCAATCAATAAAAACAGGCCTAGAACTGACACAGATGTTAGAATTGGCAGAGAAAGTAATTAAAGCAGTTATTTTCAGTGTTTTCAAGAAGTTAGGGAGAGATATAAAAGATATAAAGAAGACCCAAAGTTAAATTTTAAAGATGAAAGCTACAATGTCTCAAAAAAACAGCAACAACACTGGATGGGAGTAAGAGCAGATTAAATATTGGACAAGAAAAGATTAGTGCACTTAAAGGCATGGCAATTATAACTAACAACATAAGCAAAGAGTTAGAACATAATGTAAAAACTCGAAAAGAGCACCAGTACACTGTGGACAATTTCAAGTAGCCTAGTATACAAGTAATAGGCGTCCCTGAAGTGACAGAGGAAGAAATAAAAAATATCTGAAGCAATAATGCTGACAATTTTATAAACCTAAAACTATAATCCCAGAGATCCAAGCAGTTCAATGAAGCTCAGCACAAGATACACAAAGAAAAGTACATCAAGGCATGTCATAACTGAATTGTTCAAAACCAGCAATAAAGAAAAAAAATCTTAAAAGCAGCCAGAGGAAGAAAAGATCTATTATATACAGAACAAAGATAAGAAATAGAGATACTGATTTCTCATCCAAAAAAAAAAAAATGCAAACAAGAAGAAGTAAAACAATATATTTAAGGGTTGTGTGTGGCAGCTCACGACTGTAATCCCAGTACTTAGGGAGGCTGAGGCAGTGGATTTCCTGAGATCAGGAGTTTGAGACCAGCCTGGCCAACATGGCAAAACCGTGTCTCTACAAAAATACAAAAATTAGCCAGGCGTAGTGGTGCAAGCCTGTAGTCCCAGCTACCTGGGAGGCTGAGGCAGGAGAATGGCTTGAACCTGGGAGGCAGAGGTTGCAGTGAGCCGAGATAGCGCCACTGCGCTCCAGCCTGGGCGATAGAGTGAGACTCCATCTCAAAACAAACAAACAAACAAACAAACTATATTTAAAGTACTGAAAAAATACTCTTTAAAAATTCTATATTCAGCAAAACTATCTTTTAAAAATGAAGGCAATTTAAAGACTTTTTAGATATATAAAAGCTGAAATAATTCATCATTAGGAGGCTTGCAGTATAAAAATATCAAGGGAAGTCCTTCAGGAAGAAGGGGAATGATAACATAAAAATCTGAATTTAAACAAAGCAATAAAGAGCACTGAAATAGTAACTACTGAGGTAAATGTATGAAATTATTTTCTTGTTATTGAAAACACTGAAACATCAACTGACTGTTTAAACAAAAATAATGCCAATGTATTGTGCAGATTATAGCATATGTACAAGTAAAATGCATTCCAACAGTAGCATAAAGGCCAATAGGGAAAAATGGAAATACATTTTTGTAAAGTTCTTTTATTATATGTGAATTGGTATACTATCACTTGAAGTTAGACTGTGATGTGTGTAAACCCTCAAGCAATCAGTAAAATAACAAAACAGAAAGTAATGACTAATAAGCCAACAAAGGAGATAAAATGGATTCATAAAAAATTTGATTATTCCAAAAGAAGGCAGAAAAAGGGAAAGGGAGAATAAATAACCAATAGGACAAATAGAAAATAAATAATAATATGATACACTTACACTGGACTATATCAATAATCATGTTAAATGTAAATGGTCTAAACACCTCGATTAAAAAACAGAGATGACCAGATTGGATAAAAAAGCAAGACTCAACTCTATGGTGCCTGTAAGAAACACACTTTAAAGACGAAAATACAAGTAGGTTACAAGGAAATAACTGGAAAAAAAGATATGCTATGCCAACGCTAGTCAAAGAAAGCTGGAGTGCCTGTATTAACATCAACGTAGATTTTAAAGAAAATAATATTACCAAGGACAAAGAATATCATTTCATAATAATTAAGGGATGAATTAATCCTAAGAGGACATAAAAATTTAAACATATATGCCCCTATAACAGAGCTTTAAAATACATGAAGCAAAAACTGATAGAACAGCATGAATAAATGGACACATACACAATTATAGTCAGAAATTTCAATATCCCTCTCTCAAGAAATGATAGAACAAATAGTTCTAAAATAGATATTTTAAATTTTGGATGCATTTTTAATGTTTTAAATAATAAGCTTACTAAGAGATTTCAATCAAGAAGAGTGAGGCTGGCCTCATAGAATGAGTTGAGAAATATTCCCTTCTCTTCTATTTTGTAGAAAATCAGCAAGAATACAGTAGGCTTGAACAACACTACCAACCAACTTTACCTGATTGATATTTATAGAACACTCCACTCAATGACAACAGATTATACATTCTTCTCAAGGGCACATGCAACATTTATTAATATAAATTATATTCTGGACCATAAAACAAGTCTCAATAAATTAAAAAGCACTCAAATCACATAAATCATGTCTTCAGAGCACCAGGAAATCAAATTATAAATCAATAACAGAAAGACTTCTTAAAAGATCCTGAAATAAATAATCTCTAGATTTAAAAAATCCCAAAAATAAATTAGCAAGTTTTTTGTACTGGATGACAATTAAAACACAAGATATCAGAATTTGTGGATGCCACTAAAGCAGTACTTAGGGAAAAAATTTTTTAATGCCTATGTTAGAAATGGCTATGTTTGAAAAGAACAAAAGTCTCAAATTAATTACCTCAGCTTCCACCTGAAACTGAACATGAAACTGAAAAAAAAAAAATCTAAAGTAAGTAGAGGAAGCCAGATAATAAAGATAAAAGTGGAATTCAATGAAAGAGAACATAGAAAAACAACAGAGACAACCAATGAAACCAAAGTTAATCCATTAAAAGGATTAAATTAACAAACCTATACCTAGGCAGATAGACCAGAAAAACTGGAAAGAAAACACAATTTGCCAATATTAGGAGGAGAGAGGGGACATATCTACAGTCTACTGATATTAAAAGGATAATAAAGAAATGTTATGGACAACTTTATTCCAATAAATTTGGAAACTTAGATAAACTGAAAAATTCCTTGAAATACACCAACAAAGGTCACTGAAGAAGAAATAGATGACCTGAATAGCCTCCTATAGCTATTAAAGAAATTGGAATTGTAGTTAAAAATTCTTCACAAAAGGAAAACTTTAGGCCCAAGTGGCTGTACTGTTCACTTTGATCAAACATGTAAGCAAAAAATCATCAATTCTACACAAAGGCTCCAAAAAAAATAGAAGAGAAGGGGATATTTCTCAACTCATTCTATGAGGCTGGCATTACTCTTCTTGATTGAAAACTCTTAGCAAACTTATTGTTTAAAACATTAAAAAATGCATCCAAAATAAGTAAAAATAAATAAAACATTCAAATTGAAAAGAATGAAGTAAAATCATTTCTATTTGCAAGTGACATAATCTCATACGTTAAAAATCCCAAAGAATCCATAAAAACTACCAGAGCTGATAAACAAATTCAGCAGTATTGAAGAACAGCAGACAAAAGTTAGCTATATTTCTATGAACCAGCAATAAAGAATCCAAAAATAAAATTACGAAAACAGTTCCATTTACAATAGCATCCAAAAGAATAAAGTACCTAGGGATAAATTTAGGCAGATAAAAACACTGGTACACTGCAAACTAGAAAAATTGCTGAAATAAATTAAAGAAGACATAAATTTATGGGAAAAC